GTCTAAGATTTAGCCGAAATTTTCAAACTGATTTTAAAAATTCAAAAACTATTCGAAATATAGAGGTTAGAAATGGTGTTGATTAGTTTTTGTTAAAGATAAGATACATATGTTATAGATAAAAATTTCTTTACTGGTAAACTTTGATGGTCATTCTTAAATATTATGGTTGAAAAATTGTTTTGATTATAATAATTTATTAAAGTTCGGAACAATAAGTTAAAATTTCAAAATTATATCATTTTCAAAATCTGCTTCAGAAAAGTAAAATTATCTAGAACATTTTGCTTTTTTATAAAAGATGAAGTTTATAATACAAAAGTAGTGATGCTTTATGAAAATAAAATAAAAAGGAAACTATGCCCTTTTTGGATAAAAAAAATCAATGTGATTGAACAACAATTTTATCTTGTGCATTATCAAAGTCCTGAGGTCTATTAATATTTTACCATTATTTATTTAATTGAAATATTTGTATATATCAGTCGTAAATATTTATAGTTTTGTTTTAAATGTTATTATTCTATAGTTTATAACTTTGTTTCAAATATTTATCAGGTTCTTTAAAAAGAAAATTGACCTAGAACTATTTAACAATGTTTCTTCACTACGAAATGGACAGTTTTGTTACACAAATTCTTTTTCATGTTTTATTATACATCGTAAAATTATTTCGGTACCTGACGTACTCATAATAACGAAAATGCTTATCCGCAATATTTTTGCAAAACTATTATTGAAATAAAATGAAACCTATTATAATACATAATATAATTTTATTGCTCTGTCGAAAATTATAAATGTAAAAATTTTATTGACCTGTGATGGGCCGAACTTTTTCATATGCAAGTCGAATTTTATGAAGTTTTATAAATCTCACGAAAGATTACTCATTAAAGTTTTCCTGCTTCCGCACATTTTAATAAAATGAAGAGGGTAGGGTGGGGCACAAAGGTCTAATTTGACTGTGAGCAATTATATTACAATAAAAAGCACATATCAAACAAGCAATTATTTGACTATGCCAAGAATCATGGTGATGGCTGTTTATTCATCCTTTTCCTTCTACTTTCAAATAATGTTGTTAAAAAAAATTCATAACTTTACTGGTTTTTGGGATATCGGTGGTAGTTTTTTTTACCCGCGGACATTTAAGCTCCTCTCTACCCTATATTTTTAATGGTTATACATTTCTTTACATAATGGTTATATGTATGTATCAAAATAGTTCTACTCAAAATTAGCTATTATTTTAACATTTTTATTATATTTTAATCTAACGTATTATTAATCCAAAAATATCGCGCTGCCATTTCATTTAATTCGAGGAGGAGCTTTCTTTAAGGCTTTAGGAGCTTTTTTTGAGGGTAACTTTTATTTAATTTTTATATAGACTTTCTTAAGCACATGTTTAAGAAATATAATGTGAAGCCAGCCTGAATTACACAAAGGGTAAATTAACTTCAAATAATCATTTACAAAATAATTGATTTATGTTGACAAAATTTCGGCCCTGGATGAAGTTCTATAATTCTTTTCAATAAAGATGTAATTTTTCTCGTATTTGCGCAGACACACTTAAGTTGTAAAACCAAGTTTTTGGCAACAACTCTACATTTTACTACATCCTGCAAAATGTTTTATTTGTATTGTTTGCGAAATAAGATTTTATTATATGGTGTTCAGGTGTTTGCAGTAAAAATAAGTTCGATAATCCTGAAAAAACAAAATTTTTGTATCTCACAGAAATACTGTATTATATCTATAAACAAATTTGACATTTGAGATAATTTAAGTCAAATTTAAGTGTATTATGTGCATGTAGGGGTTTTTAATATATTTGTTTTTGCATTTAAAACTTAAGCATAACCGGATAAGAGCATGTATTTAATGAATCTATATATTAATTCCGGTTTTATTTATTAAAAATATACAAAATTAAAACTCTTTATTTATATATTGATTGAGTTTGTGACGATTTCACATTATTAAACATACATATATTTTTAAAGAATTTGTGTAAACAAAATATAACATTTTTATAATTTTTGCAGACATAACATGTCTAAAAGTTATTTTTCCAGAGTAGATTTGTGGATTCTAAACAATTATTTACTCAATAGGATAATATGTTTATAAAATACTATAGCTGCATTATATCTTATAACGAAACTATAACAAAAGCTTAATTTGCCAGTTCATAATTTTCTTATAACTAGAAAATAATCAGTTCTTAATTTTCTTATATTTTTATAGAAGGCTTTCAGAAACTTACAATTAAACTTTGTAAGTTGATTTCTGTTGTAATTTAATTTGTGGAATTTCAATATAAACAAATTCATATTTTAGAAAATTAAAGATGTGATTAAAACTATAAAAACTAATGAAGCTTTTAATAAAACTCAAAAATTATATTATATGCCGCATTTAATAATCAGCAGATTTTTTTAAAATAAATTTATTTAATAGACTTTGATGAACCAAAATACGTTTCGATCTTCTGGAAAGAAACTTATTATAAATAATTTAAAAAAATTGTAAAACAATATAGTTATAATTATATATTGTGAGTTTAAATAAGTCACATAATATAAAGTAACTTATTTATAATCACATAACAAATATGTTAATTAGCAGAATTTTTATACGTTTAAATCTAGTTAAACTAGTTAATCAGTATTTATGTTTTAAATACTGATTAACTAGTACGTTGACCAGATTAAATAATAGCTATTTTATCTTTCTGGCTAAAACCTAATTAGTTGTACCTTTAAAATGGATATATCTTGCAAACATTTTTTTTTCAAGATTAAATCACAATCTGTTTTTTTGATAACACGAAATATTCAGCAATTATTATGACTAAAATAAAGTATTTTAGAACAAAAATGAAAAGGACCTAGTGCTGAGGTTTATTTTGTCGATTGAATAGTAGAAAACACAATGATGCTAATATTTATAGTATTGCTATAGTATTTTGTTTTATTTAGTATCTTTTACACCTATCCTGAAATCGGCATAAAGTAAAAATGAGGGATTAAATAAATACTTTATGAATTTTCTGATTAATTTTCTGATTATCAGAGATTTTAAAAATTGACGCATGTTAATGTAACATTTTTTTTTCAAATTTGTCTTGGTTTATGTAATCATCTAATTCGTTTGTTTATTGTGTTCATGTTGGCTTCTTTATAAATTAAACAATTCTGTTGTACATTCAATGAGGTATTCTTTTAATAATTTATTTTATCACGTTTCATTTGGAAGCTCAGTTTCTTTTCGTATGTCCAATAGCTTTAATAAAAGCTTTGTACAAGTAAATACATATAAGCGAATACAACAACATCATGAATTGACAAAATTTATTTATTATCAAATAATATGACAAATTTCCAATGCCACCCTATTTGTTTGGTTATATCTATCTATTTAAAACTTCAATTTTTCCAAGATAATTCTTGGAAAGATTTGTTCAAGTAAAAACGAAACTTATTTATGTGAAATATAAAGCGAATATGGTTGACAACATCATGAATTGACAAAATTTATTCATTATCAAATTTCCAATACCGCCTTATTTGTTTGGATATATCTATTTATTTAAAACTTCAATCTTACCAAGATAATAGCTTTGTACAAGTAAAAACTAAAGTTATTTATGTGAAATATAAAGCGAATATGGTTGACAACAAAATTATGAACAAAATTTGTTTAATATCAAATAATATGACAAATTTCCAATACCACGCTATTTGTTTGGATATATATATACATATATGTATTTATTACCAAGATAATAGCTTTGTACAAGTAAAAATAAAACTTGTGAAATATAAAGCGAATATGGTTGACAAATTGCTGAATTGACAAAATTTGTTTATTATCAAATAATATGACAAATTTGTAATTCCACCCTATTTGTTTGGATATATCTGTTTATTTAAAACTCAACTTTCCAAGATAATAGCTTTGTTCAAGTAAAAACAAAACTTATTTCTGTGAAATATAAATGGTTGACCACTACATTATGAACAAAATTTGTTTATTATCAAATAATATGACAAATTTTCACTACCACCCTATTTGTTTGGATATATCTATTTATTTAAAACTTCAATCTTACCAAGATAATAACTTTGTACAAGTAAAAACAAAACTTATTTATGTGAAATATAAAGCGAATATGGTTGACAACATCATGAATTGACAAAATTTATTTATTATCAAATAATATGACAAATTTTCAATACCATAATAGGATATATCTATTTATTTAAAACTCAATCTTTCTAAAATAATAGCTTTGTACAAGTAAAAACTAAACTTATTTATGTGAAATATATAGCGAATATGGGTGACAACATCATGAATTGACAAAATTTATTTATTATCAAATAATATGACAAATTTCCAACACCACCCTATTTGTTTGGTTACATCTATTTATTCAAAACTTCAAGCTTTACGAGATAATAAGATATTCAATACGTCACCTTTCAGTAAAAATACGTATCATTGTATAAAATTCAGCTCTATTAGCACAAAACAATCCTTGCACAGAATATATCTGTACTTTGTACAACGTACGTAATACACGTTGTCATTCAAAAGCTCATTCATGCATTTCGTTTAGCTGCTTCATTTTCGTTTTCTATTTTTTTTTCAATGTTATTCAATTGAATTTGTCCTCACGCCCCACCAGGCACCATTCCCTGGTCTCTTCGCTAACCACACCCTACATCGAGGCGGCGCTTGGTTAGGCGACTGGTTAGCTCAGGACACATTCGGTCGAACCGCTTCAGTACGGTTCCGACCAGACCACGGTGCGGTTGAGATATAGGCGATTGATTTTGTGTGGGATCATCATTTTCGTATTAAATTAATCAGTTTTTCCTACCCGCCCGTCGTGATACGTTTAAATCAGTTGTTATTCTAACTTGGTGTTATCAGTGCTTAAGACAGTTTTTTTTTGAGTTTGTGTTAAATTTAATATTTTCAAAATGCAAGCCATGAACGATCCGTCGATTTTTGGCAGCGTGTTGCCTTTTGAGCCAATTGCGTTGTATGAGCAACCTAAAACTAGGTTTATTTTCAAAATGCCGAGAGTGGTGCCGGATCAAAAAGGAAAATTTGAATCTGATGAATTGTTCAGACGTCTCAGCCGGGAAAGTGAGGTTGGTAGAGAAAAAAAATCTAGTTTAATTTTTGTATGGAAAGCCTACTGTTGGAAAACATTTAGTTGCTTGTCTGACTGTCACAGGCTTCTTGCTGTGATTATGTCGTGAAATGTGTAAAAAATAATCCTATTTTCGAAGTGTTTAATATATTAATTTTAAATATTAATATGCCTTAACACCATATGGACAATGCAAAAAATATATGGTTCTTTCCTACGTCTGTCAAAAAATCTATATTTATTTTGACCTGTTATCTGGTCTACTATCTATTGTCCAGTATATTTTCACAATTTTAATACAATATAGAGTAATTTTGTAATTCCTATGTGTAATCGTGCATGGATTTATTAAATATTTTTTAAATCCTGTTAACAATTCACTAAATTTATGAAATGCATTGAAAGTTTAATTTGAAATTCATCTCACAAGAATTTTCAAGAGAAATAATGGTTTTTATTTTCAAAGTGCTTTATATATTTATTTTAAATATTAATATGTTGTAACAATATCTGGACAATGCAAAAATATGGTTTTTCTCTGTCAAAAATCTATATTTATTTTGAAGCGATTTTTAAAAAACTATAGAAAATATATTTTTACAATAATTATTCTGCAACAATAATTATTTTGATAATTTTGATATTTAATCTAATTCAATATGTATTTCTTTTAATTTGTTGCAATTTTGTATAGAGTGTAAATAACGTTCAAGGAAACAAGTATTAATAATTGTTTCCTAGAATATTCAAGAGAAATAATGGTTTTTATTTTCCAAGTGCTTCATATATTTATTTTAAATATTAATATGTTGTAACAATATCTGAACAATGCAAAAATATGATTTTTCTCTGTCAAAAAATCTATATTCATTTTGATTACTGTAAAGCGATTTTTAAAATACAATATAAAAATATATTTTTACAATAATTATTCTGATAATTTTGCTAGTTAATCTAATTCAATATGTATTTATTTTAATTTGTTGCAATTTTGTATGGACTGTAAGTAAAGTTCTAGGAAACAAGTATTAATAATTGTGTATAAATAATTTAAATGAATTAATTTTTCATCATATCATATCATCATAAGTTTAATTTGAAGATCTTCTCATTAGAAAATTCAAGAGAAATATTGGTTTTTCTTTTCAAAGTGCTTCAAATATTTATTTTAAATATTAATATGTTGTAACAATATTTGGACTAATATATTGGAATATATTTTCTATATTGTTTTTTAAAAATCGCTTTACAGTATTCAAAATATAGATTTTTTGACAGAGAAAAAAACCATATTTTATGCATTACTTATACAGTCTATACAAAATTGCAACAAAAAGAAATAGATATTGAATTAGATTGAATAGTAAAATTATCAGAATAATTATTGTAAAAATATATTTTCTATATTGTTTTTTAAAAATCGCTTTACAGTATTCAAAATATAGATTTTTTGACAGAGAAAAAAAACATATTTTATGCTTGTATAGACTGTATAAGTAATGCATAAAATATGTTTTTTTTCTCTGTCAAAAAATCTATATTTTGAATACTGTAAAGCGATTTTCAAAAAAACAATATACAAAATATATTTTTACAATAATTATTCTGATAATTTTACTATTTAATCTAATTCAATATCTATTTCTTTCTGTTGCAATTTTGTATAGACTGTATAAGTAAAGTTCAAGGAAACAAGTATTAATAAATGTATAAATAATTTAAATGATCTATTAAAACTTATTAACTGAGCATCAGAAACAAAAAGTCGACAGCTTTATCAGCCTGTTATCAATAATCAATAATGAAACCAAATATCTATTTAAAATATCCTGATATTTTATTTTTTCTATTAAGGATATTAGGATTTTAGTTTCTTCACCATTTTATTTATTCTGATTGTAAATCAATTAGCTTATATTGCCTATTCATAAATATTTATACAAATTTAAATATTCTTGTCTACTCAGTGTCATTAAAATTAATTGACCTGAAAAGCAATAAAACGAATAAAAAACAAGTCACGTCATGCAATCGGAGTAGTAAAGTAAAACGAATGATCAGAATACATTTATAGCTTGTTTACTGCAATTATAGAATCGTTTAAATGATTCTAAACGTCTCACTTGGTTTTATTTGACATTAAAACATTTTAATTATCGAAGAAGTCGTCTATAAGAAAATCGATTGAAAAATTATGTATTGCGAAATCTGATCCGACATTTTTTATTATTACATTTCTTCGGGAAATATTATATTATTTTTTAATTTTATACTATTATAATTTGGAGGTAATATAGTCCAATTGATGAGTAAACTTACGCAGATCCTTGAGAGGAATCAGTAAATTTGATTTTCTTTGATCATCCAGATGATCGATTTTAATTGGAATAACTTGTAACTACAATCAATATATTTTACTGGTGCTTGCATAATTAACAGGTTTTCAATGGAACTAATAGATCAATTATTTTATATTATTAATTGCAAAAAACTATTTACCAAGTAGCTAATTAAATTGTTTTCGCGTTTAATGAAAATAAGCGTTCAAGACTTCATTACAAACTACCATGATGAATAAGATAATTAACTATAAAAACAAATGCATCTATTGATTTCTCTGTTTCTATATACAAATTAACGACGTCCTTGCTTATATTAGCCAATACAAAGAGAAA